TCCAGAGAGTCTTTCACCACTGTTATATCTTTGTCAATGTGACCTTTTGCACATTCTTACCCCAATAAGGATGGGCCAGAAAACAGATGAGTTGACAAGAAATGAGGTCAATCAGCAAATTTTATGACTTAATATAAAGAACTAATAAAAAAGTGAAATTTCAAAAAGCTGGAATGGCATAAAGTTAGGGAAGTCAAAAGGGGAAGTTGATGAGTGGTTTATCTAAATAAGAGGAAATCTCTCTCAGAATTTGAAAAAATAAAATATGTAATTTGGTGACCTGGGATCCCTGAGATGACACATAAATCTACATTTAACAATGTGACTCTCTAATAACACTAACTACTTATAAATCACATGTTCAATATATTTTTTAAGTCCTCTGAATAATAGTACTATGGAAGAAGATTAGCAGAGGGCTCTGCTAAAGATTGCTAAAGTCTATAAGCTAATTAACAAAGGTTTAAAAACTGGCCAGTGAGGAGGGTGCTAGGAGATCCCTGATTTGGTGCATTACTTAGCTCATTCCTATGGAAAAAAATGTTCCAGCTATTGCTAATGTCAAAATATCAACTTGACCTCCTAAATATGTTTAGAAGAAAAGTACTGTTTTAAAGTTGATTCCTCCATATACATAAAATTGGTGTCAATAACCTCAAGAATATAAATAATAATAAAATGTAGCAGAATGTTGTTTTGAGTACTTATAACCTTTGTTTATATGATTTATTTGAATGTTTATATAACTTAAAAATTTTTAATAATGGCTGCACTTAGCAACTAGCATGTAAAAAATACTGAAGATTTAATAATTTGCTCTTACAAGCAGATGTGAAATGATTGCAATATCCCATTGTCATCAAAAACTATTTAGATGACTTTTCAGGCCATAAAGTAAAAAAATAAAACCCAATAAATTTCATGATATCAAGTAACTAATTATATACAGGACACAGCCCCCATTTATTTTACTCTCAATTCTTAAAGCAAATTCTATATCCTAATCGATCACTGAGAAAACAAAACTGCTCATTTTTTTTCTCCTGGCAAGGAAATTCAATGTAGGAGAAGATGCTTGTTAGAAAATTTAACTGAAATAGTTTGTGTTTAGAAGTTGTATAATCACTGGAAAGGAATATAGATTCACTGTCACAAACTAAAATACTAGCTGACAGCCAACCATTGATTCTAGAGAGAAGTGTAGCTCAGAATTCAAAGCTGTGACACTGGACAATACGGTTGATCCTGGCTCTTGTACTCACAGTTAGTGTAGGTTTGAGCAACTTTGTGTCTGCTGACTCATTTATAAAATGGAAGCAAAGTAATACCTAATAAATGTAACCAAGAACAGTCTGCACATAGTAAGTGTGCATTAAATAATTTAACATTAAGAATAGAAAATATATCTTCATTTCTAATATTTACTAATGGTTTTACTGGGGTATACCAGGGCCATTTGATGGTATCTCTGAAAATTAACCCCTCAGCCATGAGGGAGGGGTTAAACAACTACTTTTTGCAAGCCCTTTAGTATATGTTCATGTAAGACACATGTATTTCTGTGTGGTTACTCATAATTTACAACCAATCAAGAAAAACACATTTTTATCCTTTCATTTTAGTGAGAAAGAATAAGAAGTAAACTATCGTGTAGTTTTTTTTTTTTTTTCAGTCTGTGATAGTGATTCTATATTCCTTTTCTAGTGATTATACAATTTCTAGTGTGTCATAGTTGACAGACATCGTTAGTGGTAGAGTTAACATTTAAACCCACACTGCCTCCAAAGCTGGGAAAATACACTTTTTACATTTTAATGAGGCCTCTCTTTGATCTCACAAAATTTTATGCTTTTGACCACAACCTTTTTCTTGAAATATCCATTTCTGTGTCAATTTCTTCCAATTCTCCATATCTGGTTTATCTGATCATCCCCAATGCAGAGTTTGAATCACATTATCATAAATCATGTTCACATGGTATTCTCTCTAAGTACATCTCCCTGTGTGCCCAAATTTCACTTCTATTAACAATACCAGTCATAGTGGATTAGTGTTCATTCTAGTGACCTCACTTAACTTGATTATATTTGCAAAGACTGTATTTTTAAAGAAAATCACATTCTGAGGTATTCAGGACTATGACTTCAACAAAGGAAATATGGGGGATATGTCAATCCATAATAGTACCCTACACTTATTATCTGAAAATGAGAAATGTCTGTTTTATCTTTTATGGTTTAATCCATGCTTCATTTCTGGAATTTAATTTTAAAATGAGGTTTTCTAAAAGTAAAATTTCAGTATTTATTTATATTTGAACTCTTGCAAAGGGAATTTTTAGTAGTTACAAAATACATACAGAAAAAAATGATACATTTGATATTTAAGATAACAAATGTAAAAATAGTGTAAGTATAGAACTATAAAGTTAGATGTTATTTTTTACTATTTTACATGTCATATGTCTTATACAGCACTATAGGTGGGTACAAAAATATAAATTATAATGATTTAATATTTTAAAGGTCTGCCATTTATGTGGAAATTATGCATTTATACATTGTAGAAATTTGTATATCACCAAGAGAAAATTAAACATGCGTAATTCCACTATGAAAATATCAGCATATATTTTCCCAGGTTATAATATCAATAGATGTTCTATAATTTAATTTAAATGGTATATATTATCTTATATGCCATCTTTCTCACCTACTGCACTTTGTATATCATTTTGTAGCTTAATAGTACCTTAATTTATTTCATTTGTACTAATCTGTATTATATATATTAGCTATGGGCATTTTCAGAGATTAATATAGACTATAAAATTAGGAACTAGATGCTAAAACTTACTTTTTTTAACTTTTTTTAAGATTTATTTTATTTATGCATACATAACTAGGGTACAGACCAGAGATGCAGGGGTGGTGAGAGAATGAATTCACCAGAAATAGAGGAGGGAGCAAAACAGACATTTCAAGGAAGTACACTGCTGAGGGGAGCAGTGGGCGGGTCAGGAGAGGTCTGCCTCACCATGTGAACCATCTCTGGGGCTGGGATAGAACTTGTGCTGAAGCAGCTGCAGCTAGCTTGCAGTGCTGCATCCTAACCCACTGCACCACCAGGGAGGGCCCTAAAACTTACTTTTATCAAAACAGAATAGGCAAGAACTATGTATAATTTATCAAGACCCCACTGAAAAATATACATAACCAAAGGTATCGATTTAGGAGAATCTCATACAATGAAAGGGCATCAATAATGTTGGAAAGACCTGTATTCTGCTTAATTCATTGACAGCTTTTCATGCATACATGTTCACTAGCTACATTTTGACATACACTGTTTCATTCTATTATTACAATATTTTTATGAGAAAAGATATATTTTTATATTACTGCCAAAAGGTATAAAAGGTCTATCATTTAACCTGCTTATAAGCTAAGATGCTAATCTAAGAAAATATGCGACTTATGGATCTGAAACAAAATACTTTCTTATTCATAATAAAACAATAGCCAGACGTTCCTTTTGGTTTGCTTTGGTTGGCATGCCCTTCCAAATCCCACAGAGATAATATAAGTGGCCCTATAATTGCCTGGGAAATTGCCTGGGTATTTTTGGTATACCAAGTCAGAAAGTTTAGGGACCTCATGATTGGTAGTAGATTACACATATTCTTGACCTTTCTACTATTCCATGCTTTACCAAAATCCATCCTTGTTGTGTAACAAATCACCTTAAAGAAAATAAAACTCTACTTTCCAATAGCATCTGAGTAAGTCATTTTTAAATCCTGTATTTTGCTTTTTTGACAAAGTCACAACTTTCACCCCTATATCTATATCCATCTATATTCTCTTTATGTCTTCCAAATTCCCTCCTCAAACTTCCAAGTCACTAAAACTATGTTCCACATTTCTTCTGACTCTGTTTCTATGGGACATAGTTGGTAAATTTCACATATGTTGGCAAGTTCACTGATGCATTTTTAGGTGCTTTACTCCAGGAAGCAAATGTCATTCCAAATGACTATTTAATTTCAGAACTACCACACTCCACTTCTCATCAAAGATTACATGGTACTCGATTTTTTTGTTTGTTTGGTTGGTTGGTTGGTTGTCTAAGAAGTGAAACCTTGGCTCCAGATAACTGTTATTGCTCATGGTCCATTCTACCTACCCTCCTCACCTTGGCCTGTGATTCAAGGAATGTCAAGTCATCAATACAATGCACAGATTCACAGCTAATTGTGCTAAATTTCTATTTATCTTTCTATTAATTGGAAAGTTCTACTCCATGTTAACTTCTTGGCACTGGTTTTGATAGTATTTGGTCTCCATGAATCTTTTTTCTTTCTGACCAGCCTTCTGATAACTCTTTAATTTTATCTAGAAGCCTTTATCTTAACATGTTCCTGTGTAACCAATGTTAACAGAGTACCACAATTTCATCAGTTTCTCCCTTAGCAGAAAAACTAGGTTGCATGAGTATGATAGCGAGGAAATCAAATGCAGCATATCCATGCTAGCAATTTAAACAGATCCCCTAAATCTATCTTATGGATCCCAAGGTGAAATTAAATTTCTCCTTAGAAGATGTTAAAGGAATGATTTGATGGTTTTGTTTCATAGAAATTAAAGGAATTCCTACAAACATTACATAAACTTATTTGGCAACTCTGCTGCCTTCTGAGATAATCTCTGTTCAAACATTAAAAAGTAACTACCAGAATATCAACCTCATTCTACCTTAATAAAGAAATGGTTGTCACATACTTAGAACTTAATGAATACCAAAGTGTTCCAGGTACTTAGTTTATCAAAACACAATGCCTCTCTTATAAATTTTTCATCCTTATTAAATCTGCCCAAATAGCATCATTCTATCAGTTATTTATTTACAAAACAATCTTATATAACATTCAAATTCTACACAGACTCACTGAATACATTTTAAAATATATTTATCTCGAATATCCTTGCGGTTCTACTTACTCAGACTGGGCTAGCTTATGTCTCTGCACTCAGCTGTAGATCAGCTACATAAAATTTCTGATCCTGGGTGGGCTTCTTCACATATCTTGGGATTGGCTGGCTCTCAACAAATTTAATGTGGTATTAGCTGCAATGACAGAGGCAATTTGACTGTAGTAGACTGAGTATTCTCAGATGAAATGCAGATTTCCAAGAGCAAAACAGGAAATCTTTTTTCAAACTTCCATTTGTGGCATACCTTCTAACATCACACTGATCAAAACAAGTCACTTGGCTTTGACCTGAACAGTGAATCGGAGGCAAAAGAGCTGGATACATGAGGAATGAAGCTCTGGAGCCATAACACAATCTCCTGCAGTCTTTGTTGCTGGGAGTAAGTCATAGAATTATGCATTCAGTTGTGTGCATAAAACAAAGACTAAATTTCAGAAATTTTGAGTCAGTGGAAAACCATTCATTGGTTGAAATTTGACCATAGAGGTTTTGTATCACAAGAATTAGGCAAGCACTACTAATCAGAGCTCCAATTTGTAGTCATTTTACCAGTAGTATAATACCATGCATCTCAAGAATTTCAGTTTCAAGTTTTTCCCAAGCATAGAAATTTTCAGGTGATTATGTGATAACATTATATTTCTATTTTGCATCAAAGAAAATAATATTGGCATTAGTACCAAGTTGCTGTTTTTGTTTTCTTTTCCTAAATTACCAACATGTATGCAAATACTGTAAATTTCTCAAAATAGATGGCTCATTATTTCATGACAGGGAAAGTAAGAATAGTAATTAACATCATCAAAGAAATTACTTATGAGTTAAAAGTTCCAATTTTCTATTTTTAAGTATTTTGAGTCTTTCATTCTGTGCTTCAGCAATAATCCCCAGGTAGCTAATCCCTGAGGTGGTGTGTGGGAGGGACAGCACCCAATGATAACATTAAACTTTTGTCCGTAAATAGCTGAAGCTGTAATTTTGGCTGACCTAGAATTATAAGTTATGTGAGGCCTTTTATCACTCAAAAGATTTAGGGAAGAGATCATAGAAATCATATAAACTGGAGTTTCAAATAACTATCTATTATCTATTGGTGTTTTTATTCCTCTGTGAGTAAGGGAAGTGATTCTTCTGTGTGGTATTAATTAGTAACTCCCTCTCTCTCTGTCTATTTATATATATATCTATATATATATAGATATATAGATATATATATAGATATATATATACACATATATACATATACAAAAATATATTTACTATAGTAGTAAGTTGTAAAACTGTTCAATTCCTTTCTTATTAAGAAATAAAAATACTGAATTTCATACACAAGTATATTTTATATTCTTTTCTTTTATCATGTCCTCTATATGTATAATATCTATATATACATATATTTTTCTTTTTTTACTTCTGCATAATAGAAAATGATTATGACTGAAGTCAAACTGTGCCAGTTCAAATTCAAATTCAGTGACTATAAACAAAGTACTTAACCACTTGGTTTTTATTTTCCTCACCTGTAAAATATGGACATAAATAGTATCCAACCCACAGGGTTGTGATATTCGAAGAGCTAATGAATGTAAAATATTTAGACCAAAGCCTGTAAATCCTCAAAAAGTGTTACCTGTCATCATTTAAAAATCCAAAGTATTTTCATTTAAATAGTTTTAAAAAAAAAAAAACTAATCTGCTAACTTAGAGGAAGTTTAATCATATTTGCTGCCATTAATATATATTGCTTTCTTTTCTCAATGACTTGTGTTATAACAATTTAAGAATGTTTAGACACAGTCTGAGGTAGGCAACAGAAGCTCAGGGTAAAGAAAAGGTCCTCCTATTTCAGTTTTCTGTGTATTATCTACACAGAAATGTCAGAAATGTATGTAGCAAAGACCTTACGAAAACATGATTTCTGTGTCAGTTACAGTCCAGTGGTGCAGAAATTATAATCAACATATGATAGAATTGACTGAGGTATACTTATCCTCTTTTAACTGTTATTTAACCAGAAAAAAAATCACAGAACTCTAAGAAATATTTATTTTTGTCTTTTAATAAATTCAACTTCACACTAAGGGAGAAAAAAAATGTTTCTTGGTATCTTTTGATGATATATGCCTAATAAAACCCCAAAGGACATTAAAGGAAAAGTCATGTTCCTTGTAATAATGTAAATTATTACAAATGACGACTATAAAACTTCATAATGTACTATGATATTTATGACTGATACAACTACTTATATTATGTAAGCATGGAACTTAATTAGATAGAATATATAACTGGAAATCTTACAAATATAGAGTAAGACAAGTATATCTCAATCAAAACCCACTGAGATAAAAACTGGCAATTAAAAAATTATAGTGATTTTATTATATAGTACTTGTAGATAAGGCATAATAACCAGAGTCCAGTGATCCTATTTACAAATCCATTTGGTAAATCACATGCTAGAGAGATATCAGCTAGGACCTACAAAATAGGTCCAGTTTTTTCTAGGTTTTATTTGAAGACATGGACAGAAAAGAGAATTATGAAGTTATTAATATAAATTAATATAAATATATATACGTACATAATTGTTAAAGGGTATCAATTCACTCATATTTCAATTAGGAGAAATACAACTCTATATATTCATGGAATACATTATAAGAATATGATATTAGATTAACTGAATTTTAAAAATGTAAACATTATAGGTAATCACTCAAAAGTCAGTATTTTTTTTCAAAATCAATTTGAATCAATATTCAGGAGCCCAGATTTGCAAAGAATTGCACTATCAGACCAAATTCAGTGATCCTGGCCTTTAGATAAAATAAGAAAAGATATTAATATATTTTATAGTATACACGACTACTTCAATTCTATATAATGAAATTAAAATTGTTTATATAACTAGTCTCATTATTCACCACTGTTACATGGCCCTCTGCACAGAGAATACTCATTTTCTCTAGTCATTAAAAAAACAAATATCAAACAATGGATTTACCATTTTACCCAGTAATTCAACTCCTAGGCATCTACCCCAAAAAGTCAAACAAGGAATTCAAAAGGAAACTTGCACACCCACGTTTACTACATCACTATTTACTATAACTAAATTTTGGAAATAACTATAGTGCCCCCAATAGGAGAGTGGATCAAAATGTGGTATTATATACCACAGAATAGTGTTAAGTCAGTCATCAAAAAAGATCAATTTGTGGCAATTTGTGGCAACATGAATGGAGCTGGATGGGAAAATGATTAAGTCAAATGAGTCAGAAGAAGAAAGATAAATAGGGGGTGGTTTCACCAATATGTGAAATATAAAGTATATTGTTAAATATCAATATAATAAAATATAAAATGTATATATAGTGAAATATAAAAAGTCAAACAGAGACTAGCTTAAAAAATAACTTTTGTGGCCCTCCCTGGTGGCGCAGCGGGTTAAAGCACTGCACTAAGAAGCTAAAGCCACTTCCGCATGAGTTCGATTCCCGCCTGCACTAGAGGTGACCACATGGCGTGGCAGACCTCTCCTGACCCCCCCGCTGCTCCCCTCAGCAGTGTACTGCATCGATCTGCCTGTTCTGCTCCCTGCTCTGTCTCTGGTGAATTCTCTCACCCTCCACATCTCTGGCCTGTACCCCAGTTCTGTACAAATAAATAAATAAATTTAAAAAAAAAATAACTTTTGATAGCTCATTACAGAACTAAGCACCAAGGGGAGAGAGGGGCTGAAGAAGAGCTAAGAACATAGAGGAAAAGAAATTCAGTGGCCTATAGTGTGGAACATGGACAATTTGGATGTGGATGCACTATGCTAGTAATAACTGATGAGGATATACAAATGTCACTACAATTAAATAAAAAATTACAAAGAACCAGCATTTTTTTCCCTTATTAAAAAAACAACAACAACAAAAACCTGTGTTTAGGAGTAAGATGAATGTTTTTGTAGCTCCCTTTACAGGTTAAAATGGTTGACTCAGCAGCACTCTGAGTACAATGTAGGGCTTAGAAAAGCAACCTGATGGCACTTAAGTTTACACTCAAGACAAGTGTTTTATTCACACAGATTTCCCTTAGCTAAAACTAATTTCTCCCTTCTTTGTGCTTGCACAGCATATGAGTTCTTCCTTTCCCGTAGTGTTTGTCACATCTTGCCTAATTTTGAGCACTACTGCTTGTTGTAAAAAGGAGAAATATCAATACTTACAAATATCTTCATTAAAATTTCAGTGTTTTTCTATTTCTCTCCTCCTTCTCCAGGTACTATTCTCCTCTAAAACCAATACTCTAAAGCATATGCTGCTACCCAGAATACCAAGTACAGGTGGATTGATACTACTACAAAATAAACAGCAATGAAAGAGAAAGAGTGAGTTAGAATGAAGGCACAATTATCTATTTTATGTTGTTTTATAATCTGGTATGCCAGAAAACTATTAATATCTTTATTTCTGAGCAAAAAATGTTTATAGTGTATATTATATCACAAAAGTCAGATTGTTTGATGTGTCGTCAATGGTTAATGGCTGGTATCTTCTCATGAATAAATTCAATCACAGAATAAAGTCTGACACTTTATCTTCTGGTACTCAGTGCCCTGAACAGAGGAAGCATTAAAAACTTTTGTTAAAGTGCATTGATCAAACCAATGATGTTCACATTTATTGATTCTATTCATTCAGTTAATAATTCGGCAAACCCCTCCCTTCTATTCTGTATCTATAGACCACTATCATAATAACAGAGAAAAAAAACTCTAAATGACTGAGTTTTAGTTATCTTCTTTGTATCTGGGGAGTTGAGGCCCAGAGAACAGACAGATATAGTCCAGGGAAACTGAAAATTTTCAATTATATTGTAACTCAGCTGTGTTACCAATTGTACAAGTTTACCATTTCAAGTGATTTAAAGACCACTATCTTGCCAGAGGTACAGAATCCTTAGACATGAGATGCATTAGAACAGATTACAGTCTCTTAAAAATACATGGAACAAAATTATTATGAACTATGTTTGAAAAGAACTTAAACATGATTTCAAAAAGTATTTTCAAGTATGAAACAAATTAGATGCCTGATTTGTTCATGTGCCATCAGACAAGCTGGCTTGACTGAAAAA